GAGTTCCCTTCAACCAGTTAACACAGGAAGGGAAGACTCAAGCACGGTTTATAAATGGCTTTACACAGTATCTGAACACCACAGGAAAGCAGACAACTATGGAACTACAGCCCCTTTCGGAAACAATTCTGAAGGACAACGGTGAAGTGAAAACCTTGCTGTGGTGCATTTGGAAAATGCACCTTACTGTTTCACTTTGCCTGAAAGGAGAAACAGCAATACATGCAATTATATACCAATTCATGAGCTGTGACCAAAGCTTGGCTTATGGCCAAGGACGTAGAAGGAACATGACTGGAAAATTAGTAAGAAATATGGGGAAGAGATATAGGATAGACTTCTCTGAAGAGGCAAAAAAAAAAAAAAAAAAAAAAGTGTCGCATTGGATATTCACCAAAGGGTGTCTTTGGAAGAGGAATTTTATAATCAAGTGGATAGGAAAAACCGTTCTGTGGATACCAGTCTGCCTTTTTCCCAAACACCCCTGTCATCACCCAGTGGGTTCATGAACAAGGTGGCCAAGATGGCAGTGATGGATGTTATGCATGTGTTCAGCAATATGGACCTCCACTCACCAAAGCCTACCTGGCTATGACCACCACTGTGTGCCTGCTATGCCAGCAGGTGAGACCAGCTGCTGATGAGTTCCTGATATAGCACCATTTCTCCCGATGGACAGCCAGCTATCTGGTGACAGACTGATTACAACAGACTGCTTCCACTATGGAAGAGGCAATATTTTGTTCTTACTGGAATAGAAACTTAACTCTGGATATGGATCTGCCTTCCCTGAATACAATGCATTTCTGTCAAACTACCATTTGTGGACTCAGAACACCTTATCCACCATTGTGGTGTTCTACACAGCATTGCTTCAATCAAGAAACTCATTTCACAGCAAATAAAGTGTAACAATGGACTCCTGCTCATGAAATTCACTAGTCTTAACATGTTCTCTACTAATCTGAAGTAGCTGGCTTGACAAAAGAATGGAATGGCCTTTTGAAGACTAACTTACAGTAGCAGCTAGGTGGCAATATCTTGCAGGACTTAGGCAAGGCACTCCAGAAAGCTGTATATGCTCTGAGTCAGCATCCAATATATGACAAGCCTTCTCCCATAGACAGGACTCAAGGGTCCAGAAATCAAGGTTTAAAAGTCAAAGTTGTACCACTTACTACTCCCTCCAGGGACCCACTAGCAAAATTTTTGCTTCTTTTCCGGCAACCTTATGCTCTACTGGCAAAGAGGTCTTAGTTATAGAGGGAAGAATGATTCCAATGGGGGACATGGCAATGACTGTATTGAATTGGAAGTTAAGACTCCAGCCCAGCCATTTTGGGCACCTCAAGCCTCTGGATCAACAGGCAAAAAAAGGCATTATGATGCTGGCTGGAGTGACTGATACTGACTGTCAAGGAGAAATTGGCCTACTGTTCCACAGAGGTAAGGAAGAGTAAGCCTAAAATATAGGAGATCTCTTCTTAGCATTACCATGTCCTGTGATTAAGATCAATGGACAATTACAAGCTAACTTAGGTAGGACTACTAATGGCCTGGACCCTTTAAGAATGAAGGTTTGGGTCAACCCAACAAGTCAAGAACCAAAAGTGAAATGCTTATTAAAGGCAGAGGGAATACAGAATGAGTTGGAAGAAGGTAATAATAAATACCAGCTATAACCACATGACGAGTTACAGAAATTAAGATTAATTGTCATGAGTATCTCCTCCTCGTTTGGATACGAATGTGTTTTTATATGTGTGTGTATATATACATAAACATATATGTATATGCTATATTTACATACACAGTCTGTTTCCTTCCAGCTCTTTTCCTTTATCATGTAACCTAGATGTATTGATTTTATATCATACTATTTAAGTGTTAATGTTACATCGCAGTATTTAATTTATAGTGTAGCAAGAACAGGAAACACCACTCAAGGATATTACCTCCTATTATGGGGAAAAAGTTAGTGCATTTTTGCTTGTACTGAAGGTATTTGTATTATGTTAGAAGTAATTCTCAACTTGCTACACAGTCTTTATTTGGAGATTAAACATGGTTTACAAAGCTGTGTAAACATGCTGAGTTGATCTGTGATGGTTAATTTTATGTATCAACTTGACTGGGCCATAGGGTGCCCAGATATTTGGTCCAACATCATTTTGGGTGTGTCTGTGAGGGTATTTTTGGATGAAATTAACACTTGAATGGGTAGACTGAGTAAAGAAGACTGGCCTTCCTAATACTAATGGGTATTATCAGAACCTATGAAGTTCTGAATAGAAGAAAAAGGCAGACCTTCCAGTAAGTTAGAAGGAACTCTGCCAGCCCAGCTGTCTTAAGCTGGGACATAGGTCTTTTCCTAAAACTCCTTGGGTGTTAAACTTGTCTTTCAGACTGACACTTTCTACTGACTCTCCTGGTTCTTAGGTCTTTGGACTCAGACTGGAACTTCACCATCAGCTCTTCTGGGTTTCTAGCTTCCTTAACTGATGATCTTGGGATTTCTTAGCCTCCATAATCACATGAGACAACTCTTTGTAATACAATCTCACCATCCTCCTCTGCTTCATTCTCTCTATACAGCTGACCCTTGAATAAAGGGTTAGGGGTACCAACTCCACCTCCAGACCCACACAGTCGAAAATCTGGGTATAATTTTTGATTCCCCAAAAACTTAACTACTAATAGCCTATGCTGATGGGAAGCCTTACCAGTGACATAAACTGTAGATTAACATGTATTTTGTGTGTTATATGTATTATATACTGTATTAGCTAGAAGAAAGAAAATATTAAGAAAATCATGGGAAAATACATTTATAGTACTGTACTGTGTCAAAAAAATCAGTGTATAAGTGAACTCATGTTGTTCAAATTCATGTTGTTCAAGGGTCAAGTGCATACATACACTCTTATTGGTTGCTTCTCTGTAAAACATTAACATACTCTTCACTGAACTCACACCAACTAGACCAGCAAAACCTACAAATGTCACCTCCACTATGAACTCTTTCCTAATATCCTAAGCTTGGTTACATGCCTCTCTTTTGTGCTTCCATAATGTTCCCATAATGCTTAATCATATATTTCTTAATTATTGATTTGTACACCTCCTCTATGGAAATATAAACTCCTTGATAACAATAACATAACTGGGGCATCCTGGTGGCTCAGTCGATTAAGCATCTGACTCTCGATTTCAGGTCCAGTTCATGACTTCAAGCCCACATTGGGCTCTGCACTGACAGTGTGGAGCTGGCTTAGGACTCTCTCCTTCTCTCTCTGTCCCTCCTTCATTCATGCAGTGTGTCTTTCTCCCTCTCTCTCTCTCAAACTCAGATAACATAGTTTAAAAAAAAAATAACATAACTATTTTCACTTCATATTACCAATACCTAACAGTAACCCTGGCATATAGTAAATTCTGAGTAAATGCATATTAAACCATTAAGAAAACTTTCTTGTGTTTATTTGGATGATACTCATTGCAAGAAAAATCAATGCTAAAGAACAAGAGCATATTGTTGCTACCTGTCAATAAGAATTCTGGCATGAAGAAGCTAGAATAAAGGGCTGCTTTATTTTGATGGCAGAAATGCTCTCATCACATCCTTCAGGGGATGAAGGACCTACCTGGGCCATATCAAGCCTGGGCCATGGTTATGCCTCTCACTTGCAAGCAAGCGATCAAAAGACCATTACTACTTGCAATTACTACCTATAAAAATCAGGATTATCTCCAAAAGAAATAAATGGATGTTGAGACTACAACTATCAATAGCCCCCGATTTTGAAATTCTGTATTCAGTAAAATAGCTTCATGGTTCTGTTTAATGGCTTATATTTTATTTTAGCTTCAAAATACATTTATACTCATAAAATGACACTATTTTATATACTGGATTTATGTTTAAGTTCTGATTTTAAAAAGAGAGTTGTGGTGCCACGAAGGTTTGAAAACTCCCAGTATAACAGTTTTCTAGCTGGACAGCCCTAATTTTAAAAATTCTTTCTGTCACTTAACAGTTGGGTTTTTAGGCAAGCTAGTTAATCTCCTGGAGCCTCTGTTTTCTTCCTTGTCTAATCCCGACAGTATTAGCAACTACTGTGGCACATAATAAGGACAGTAAAATAACATGCTTATAACATTTAATATGGTTCCTGGCATATAAGCATTTAATATCTCACTGATTAATCTCACTAATATCTCATCATCAGCAATGATGAGAAAATGAAGTCCTGGAAAGAAGATAAGGGACTATAGGCCTGTATATATATATTTTGAAAAAGGAGCTTGAGGATTCGGAATTCTAGATGTTATAACAACTATGAATTTAAGTGTCAAAATATCTCAAATTAAAACAAATGGCAGAATATATGAATCATAAATACTATATTAACTGGAAACAGTAACTCAGGGATATGAAAAAACAGGGTCTAAAAATTTCATGACCTTTGTCACCATCACCATCAAACCCATTGTTAAGCATGTCTACATGGGTATTTCCCATTAAAACTTAAGGCATATTATTAATATAGGTACTAGGAAGAATCCTTCATTTTTGAGGGAGTGTTCAATTAATGTTCAGCTAAATTTAACACTTCATTTCTTAACTTAAATTTTTATTTAAAAATGTATTAATGGGATGCCTGGGTGGCTCAGTCGGTTAAGCGTGAACTTCAGGTCATGATCTCGGGGTTCGTGAGTTCAAGCCTCACGTGGGGCTCTGTGCTGACAGCTCAGAGCCTGGAGCCTGCTTCGGATTCTGTGTCTCCCTCCCTCTCTGCCCCTCCCCCACTTGCACTCTCTCTCTCAAAAATAAACAAACATTAAAAAAAATTTTTTAATGTATTAATTAGGTTCAGTTACTGAAAGTTCCATGGAATAATGGGAGAAATAGCATATGATACAATTTATCAAATACCATGTGGCAAACTAAACATGAAAATAAAAAAAAAATTAAAAAAACAAAAACAAAAACCAGATACCTGTTTAGAAAGCACTTTCATATGCCCTACACTTCCCCGGCAGTATGCTTCAAGGATGACACCAAACTGTACTGAGACAGCAGGAATATGCACTTCTGACCTACAAATAAGTTAATAATATTAAGATAATTTGCGTATAAAACACTTCAGATCACCAAATAAAAATACTGACTTCATATTATGAAATAAATGTATGATGCCAATCAAAACACAGAAGAATACATCATCTTGTCCACAAATATTAGTGGGATGGGCAACTTCCCAATTCTTTAAACACCACAGATCAAAAACATGTGTGATTATATAATTAACTTTTTATTCCAAAAATCCAAAATTTTCACATTTCACCTTGTTTGCTTTCTGTAGCTGAAACAGAATGTTGCCAATTAAGACAATAAAGTGAAACGCAAAGATCTGATTCACATCACACAAGTGACTAATCCCTCAATTAGCTTCAATTCAATTTTTTCTCACTTAAAGAATGGTGTACCCATTTGAAAAAGGAAGGAACAACATATTCTGTTACTCCCGGAAGGGCTTAAAAATAGGAAGGTTGAACTGGATGAAAAAGATGACAAGTTAAAAATAAGAAAGGAAAAACCTCTATGAGTAATAAAGGAAATCAAGATTCAGAAATGTAGCTTCCAAAATCATTATCAAAATAATATAGAGCTCATTTTCCTTAAAATGTTTAGCTAAAATGGGGGAAAGTCCTATTTTTATGACAGTCATTAGTTTCAGTATTCTCAAGTCCAGATGAAAAAAACAAAAATGTCTGAGTACAGACTCAGAAATCAGGAACCAACAACTTTCCTAGGAAAAAAGGACTTCATTTATCCTTTCTGATTTTACTCCTATATCAACTTGGTGAAATAAGGTTCACATATTTCTAAAATTGACCTAATAAAGAAGCTGAAAATAATGTTGCTCTTGTTATAGGAAAACTTTAAAATTTTTATCTATTGGTACCCAAAGCCTTTCAGAAGGAGTAAGTGTGGTTTTAGCCCAAGAATATTAACAAAGTAAGTGCACTTTACTAGAAAATAGCAATACATTAATTTTTAGTTTCAGTTAAAAATCAAGGAGACTTGGTGGGACACTTATCTGAATTACTTTGCCAAATCCTGAGAATTAAGAGTTGGGTATCAAGAAATAGAAGACACCAAGAAGAGTATGAATGTTATAAATGGCTCAGAAACAAGTAAACCAGCCAACTATTACAGTAAATGTCCCGTATTATGCTGATTTATATTTACAAAAGCACCAGGTAGACTCAAATCTAAAAATATAAAAGACTTACCTAAGGTGCCAAAATAGAAACTGCCCTATCCTGCGGTTAGCAAGTGCTCTTTCTAATAGGAATCTAGAGAGGGCACAATCAAGAAAAGGCTCGTATTTCAAAACTTGCACCAGTTGTAAAAGATATTGAGAGAGTTCTTCATCACTAAAAGAAACAAAAGACAAAATAAGTCACTCAACAACCAATGCCAGAAAGAGATCCCATCCCATCAAACTATCAAACACTAACTTACTGAAACGCAATGGTTCTTTTGGGTCAGGCTTGTTATGTATGCTTACATTCACTGTCCCACTATTAAAATAACACAAGAGGGGTGGCCTGAGTGGCTAAGTCAGTTAAGCATCCAACAACAGCTCAGTTACAATAAAATCGAGTACTTTAATACTGATTTCTGATCATGCAGGAAAAGTTATATACTCAGTCAACACATTTGTTTGTTTGTTTGTTTGTTTCTAAGTTTATTTTGAGAGAGAGACAGTGCAAGTGGGGTAGGGGCAGAGAGAGATGGAGAGAGAGAATCCCAAGCAGGCTCCACACTGTTAGCACAGAGCCTGACACAGGGATTGCACTCACAAACTAAGATCATGACCTGAGCCAAGACCAAGAAAGAGTTGGAGGCTTAACTGACTGAGCCACCCACGTATCCCAGGCAACCAGTTTTTTTAAATAAAAAAATTCCATCAGTACTTTTTAGTAATTTATTTTCCTTTCTAATCATTAGGGTTAATTCCTTGTCCCAGATTATCAGTGTGTTAAAATATTAACTTTAAATAATTTAAAGGATAAGGAAATGAGTGTAACTGAGAATTGATTCACTGAATTAATACACATAATATTGTAATTAAATGAGCTGAATTAATTAAGGTTAAGAAGTTCTCTATTTTGTGTCAATTTCTAAATCATACACTTATAAACACACTCTTATCAGAGGCAATTCCAGTGGTCAGGTAAGATGAATTCCAAGTCCTCTACTTACTAACTATAGTCTTGGGCAATAAATGGTTAGGATAGTAGTCTAATGCAGATCTGGGACTGAAACCCAGTGCACTATATTAAAAAAAACCTCATTAGACAAAAATTTATCATAGGAAAATGCATCAGAAATACCAATATAGAACATGGAGATCACAGCAATCTCTTCCTGTATATAAGTTTATTTAAGAGAAACACCTGGGGGGCTCCTGGAGGGCTCAGTTGGTTAAGCATCCAACTTTGGCTCAGGTCATGATCTCATGGTTTGTGAGTTCCAAGCCCCACATTGGGCTCTGTGCTGACAGCTCAGAGCCTGGAGCCTCCTTCGGATTCTGTGTCTCCCTCTCTTTCTGCCCCTCCCCAACTCGCTCTCTCTCTCTCTCTCTCTCTCTCTCTCTCAAAAATAAGTAAACATAAAAAAAGAAAAGAGAAGAAAAAAAAAGAGAAGAGAAGAGAAGAGAAGAGAAGAGAAGAGAAGAAAAGAAAAGAAAAGAAAAGAAAAAAGAAAAGAAAAGAAAAGAAAAGAAAAGAAAAGAAAAGAAAAGAAAAGAAAAGAAAAGAAAAGAAAAGACCTGGCTCAGTATAAAGGGAGCCAGGTAGCCCCTTTCCCTCAGATCTCCAATGCAAACTTAGGGAGGTGAGACTAAAGCCCAACTTGCAGCCTCATTTTTCAAAACTATTCACCAATCTTAAGTTTATTGTAAAATCTGTGCCTTTTATAAAACTTACAAAAGGGAGGTGCCTGGATGACTCAGTCAGTTGAATGTCAGACTCTTGATTTCAGCTCAGGTCACAATCCCAGGATCATGGGATCAAGCCTTGCATCAGGCTCCACGCTGAGTATGGAGCCTGCTTAAGAGTCTCTCTTTCTCCCTCTGTGCCCCCACCCCCCTAGTCACCTATTGCTCTTGTGTGGGCACTCTCTCTCAAAAAACAAAAAAAGGGGCGCCTGGGTGGCTCAGTCGGTTAAGCGGCCGACTTCGGCTCAGGTCATGATCTTGCGGTCCATGAGTTCGAGCCCCGCGTTGGGCTCTGTGCTGACAGCTCAAAGCCTGGAGCCTGTTTCAGATTCTGTGTCTCCCTCTCTCTGACCTTCCCCCGTTTATGCTCTGTCTCTGTCTCAAAAATAAATAAACGTTAAAAAAAAAAACAAAAACAAAAACCCAACCAACCTATAAATGGTGTAAAAGATAGAAAGGAACTACGTAAATTGGGAAGGCTTCCTCTTTCCTTATACTTCTAACTTCACTCCCTTAGAATAACAACTATTGAAAAGTTTGTGTAATTTCTTTTGGATATCATGTGGCTTGAAACATATATAACTTTAAAAAGAAGAAAAAGTGTAACAGTATCCATAATTTTCTCAGAACTTCTATTTTTTCAAATAGCCATACAGTATAAACCTCATTTTTGAAACGAGAAATGGATAAACCTGAATATGCCCATTGTCTGAGATGGTCTTAATAATGACATTTCTTCAAATAAATCTAACAGATTTTCATACATGTACTAGCCAAACGGGACTGTACAAACATGTTCACTGAAGCACTGGGGAACAGGGAAGTCTGGGGAAAACAAAATGCTCTTCAATAGGAAAATGCAGCAAATAAGATATATCCCTATGATAGAATATTACACAGTAGTGAAAGAAAAAGACTGTATTTATATGTAATGGTAAAGAATGACCTCAAAAACCCAACAATGAATTTTTTAAAATCAAGATTTAAAATAATACATATGGCAAAACATATTGGTGTAATTTTGTAATGTACAATATTATTCTACATATTTTTATAGATATAAAAATGCAGCATCAACAGAAATATGTGGTATAAAAGGATACAGACCAAATTCATAATCATGGTTGTTTTTGGGAAGTGAAAGTAATCAGGACTAGGTAACAAAACTATGAGGATTTCACCTTTAGCTGTAATGTTATTTGCTTAAAAGTATAAAATTTTTTAAAAAGCCAAAATATTAACACTTCTTAATTCTGAGTGGTGGACAGAAAAGAGTTAACATAGCAGCAGGCCTGACTGCTATCCTTTTAGAAAGGCTGTTAACTACACCGGCCTTTTGGCTGGCATCTGGAAACATAGCTTTTAGAAGGCTTCCCACCACCTAACAGATAAGAATGGCTTCGTGTGTGTAAACTGTTCTTACCCAACGGTTGATGCCCCAACACCCATTTTCCTTCTAGGAGTCTAGGATTTTGCTTTTGTGTTTGGCAGAGGGTGATTATGTGACCAGCCCCCAATAAAAACCCTGGCCACCAAGTCTCTAACAAGCCCCCCTGGTAGACAATATTTCAGACACGTTGTCACAACTCACTGCTGGGAAGAATTAAGTATATTCACTGAGACTCCACTGGTAAAGAACTCTTAGAAGCTTCTGATAGTTTCCTCCAGACTTTGCTCCATGAATCTTTTTCCTTTGCCAATTCTACATTGTCTCCTTTCGTCTCATAAATCAGAGCCAAAAGTATGAGTATGCGCTGCATCCTGTAAGTCCTAATGAATTGTGGAAACCAAGGGTGATCTTGGGGACCTTCTGACCCAGTATGTTTGTGGGTTTTCTTTTATAATATAGGCTAAACATGAAAGACAAAGGAGTCTTTGAGAGAGAGGGAGGTAGAGAAGGGAATAGGGGAGAATAGATGAAAAATATGCTTTAAACTGAGGAATTCCTAGCTCTTTTCTTTCTTATGAAACATTCAACATACATCACCTTCACTATCTACACCCAAGTTATTCCTTTCCTCAAAGAAAGCCACCTATAGTATACCTCATCTGTCGCAGGCAGCCCACAGCATATTCTCGCACGTACTGATCTGGATAGTTGAAATCTAGAAGCTCCAAGGCCTCCCGGGGGGGCAGTTTAGGCCAAATCTGAAGTAGGGCTTGAAGCTGTTGAAAAATTGAAACTGGTTCAGAAATTATAGGGGGGGGGGGAAATAATCTATTTTTCCTTGGCACACAGGAGCAGAGATGGGTCAAAAGAAAGAAAAAGCATACTTACAATTACATAGGACTCAAAAATCCACTGCTGTTTACATAAATTAATAATGTCTTTAGAAATACTCTATAGATAAGCAAGTAATAGAATGATACATTGAATATGCGATTCTACAATCATTAGCCATTAAATAATTTTGTGATTTTGTAAAGGAAAGAGAGAGAAAGAAATGATCAAGGAATAAAGGTAGGAGAGTCTGGGTGGCTTAGTCAGTTAAGCATCAGACTCTTGATTTAAAGTTAGGTTATGATCTCACAGTTGGTGAGAGTGAACCCTGCTTCGGGATCTGTGCTGATAGTGTGGAGCCTAATTGAGATCTTCTTTCTCCCTCCCTCTCTGCCCCTCCCCTGCTCATTTGCATGCACAGGCAAGCACACACTCCTGTACTCTCTCTCTCTCAAAAAATAAACATTTAAACATTTAAATCTAAAAGCGGGGGAGGCGAAGTGAGAGAGAGAGAGACACAGAATCTAAAGTAGGCTCCAGGCTCTGAGCTGTCAGCACAGAGCCCGATGCAGGGCTTGAACTCACGAACCATGAGATCATGACCTGAGCCAAAGTCGGAGGCTTAACTGACTGAGCCACCCAGGCGCCCCTAAGTAAACATTTTTTTAAAAAACTGATAATTATGATTCGTGGTCCTTCAAAGCTCACCCCTGTTGGACAAAAATCTTATTACTTAATATTTGATAGATTTCAATGGGTTTTCTTCAGTTTCCAAAGAATACACACAAAATGTATGCAAGATTAGAGCTACAAAAACATGGCAAACAGATGGAAATGACCAGAGGACTTCTCTCACTTGACTGCTCAATCTCACAGTCATATTGCAAGAGGTAGCCAGTGAGTATCTGCCAGCTAGTCACCTTGTCATTTGTCATTTGACCTTGTGCATGAAACTTGGACTTTTGAGAACTAAACATAGTTTTTAGTGTATTATTATTTTTTTAATTTAACTTTATTTTTTATTTTTTAAAATTTACATCCGAATTAGTATATAGTGAAGCAGTGATTTCAGTAGATTCCTTAATGCCCCTTACCCACTTAGCCCATCCCCCCTCCCACAACCCCTCCAGCAACCCTCAGTTTGTTCTTCATGTTTATGAGTCTCTTTTGTTTTGTCCCCCTCCCTGTTTTCATATTATTTTTGTTTCCCCTCCCTTATGTTCATCTGTTTTGTCTCTTAATATTCTTCTTTATCCATTCATCCATCTTCTTTATCCATTCATTCATCAATGGACATCTGGGCTCTTTCCATACTTGGGCTAATGTTGATAGTGCTGCTGTAAACATGGGGGTGCATGTGTCCCTTCGAAACAGCACATGTGTATCCCTTGGATAAATGCCTAGTAGTGCAATTGCTGAGTTGTAGGGTAGTTCTAATTAGTTTATTATTTTAATTCTACTAATTATTCAACTGCTCTCATTAACTATGTCAAGTGCCCAAAATAGGTCAATAATATTTGAATGAATACCTAGCAGCTAAGTTAAAAGGTATTTTCTCAGATCAAGCAAATTTAACCTCATTAAAGATACTTTTTAAGAAATTAATTTTTCTGGGGTGCATGGGTGACTGAGTCCGTTGAGCATCCAACTCTTGATTTCAGCTCAGGTCATGATCCCACAGTTCCTGAGATAGAGCCCTGTGATGGGCTCTGCGCTGACAGCACAGAGACTGCTTGAGATTCTCTCTCTTCCTCTCTCTGTCCTACCACCTCTCAAAATAAATAAACTTTAAAAAAAATTAACTTGGGGCGCCTGGGTGGCGCAGTCGGTTAAGCATCTGACTTCAGCCAGGTCACGATCTCGCGGTCTGTGAGTTCGAGCCCCACGTCAGGCTCTGGGCTGATGGCTCGGAGCCTGGAGCCTGTTTCCGATTCTGTGTCTCCCTCTTTCTCTGCCCCTCCCCCGTTCATGCTCTGTCTCTCTCTGTCCCAAAAATAAATAAAAAAACGTTGAAAAAAAAATTTTTAAAAATTAACTTAATTTTTCTATTATTTTACATTTACAGAAAAAAATAACACTTTTGAATTATGGGGACAGGGCTATTAGAGAAAAAATGTCTAAAAATGCTCCTAACAAGTGTAATAATGAAAAAAAGTTTGACACATACTGGTTTAAAGATATGAAACACCTACCTCAGACCACTTTTTATCACTGATGAGACCACCCTCCCCACTTTGCCCAAAGTTCTAATAGACCAACAGTCCTCATTATGGAAAGAGGAGTCAAGGGGGACCATTTCCTGAGGGTCTGAAACAGTAGTTAAAAAAAAAAACTAGCATCCCCAGTTAACACATGGACTACAACACTACACACAAAAACAATACAGGGCAGATAACATTCTGTAATACTAGATGGTTAAACTATGCTGGGAATTAAAAAGAGCACTACTATTGGAAAGAAGTTACCTTTGGTAAGATTACTTACAATTATTAAAGAATTAATTATATAAATGTAAACTAAAAAAATTTGCAAAACTCACTACTTTAGTTTGAGGAAAGCTATGAGAGTGAATAGTGAAAATGTGACTCAGCCATATAAATAATGAATGCAGTGCCAATTAACTACCAGCCTTTTGCAAAGACTATCGAAACCCCTTCCACAGTATGTCAACAGAATATTTTCCTGTGGATTAATGGAAGGCTACTCTTTTTTAAATCTTGGGGCAGTGGAGAAGCTGCTCTTCTACAGAATTTTCACCCACGGCTTTTGCCTTTAGTATTTATTGGGATACAAACTTTGCACCAGGCTCTGGCTCTCTACTTCTTAAGACAGTCAATTTAGTAAAAATTTAGTTTATATATTTTTTGCACTCATTCACTGTAACTGGCAATGGGACAAAGTTGTGAAAGCAAGCATGTTACTTTTTTTTTTTTTAACTTTTTTAACGTTTATTTATTATTGAGAGACAGAGAGAGACAAAGCATGAGCATGGGAGGGACAGAGAGATGGGGAAACACAGAATCTGAAGCAGGTTCCAGGCTCTGAGCTGAAAGCACAGAGCCCGACGTGGGGCTCAAACTCACAAACCGCGAGATCATGACCTGAGCCGAAGTCGGACACTGAGCCACCCAGGAGCCCCAAGCACATTACTATTTATTCCATCAA